GGGGCCATTTTAGAGTCGCACTCCACAGTTGGGCGATAATGTGTTTGAAAGCCTCTCTAGTATCTATTACCAACACTCCACTAAATGAATATTCTGTTTTTCTTTTCTCCAATGTCATGTGATCATACATGGTAAGATATGAGATACCATTGCGTGTATCAGGAAAAGGAAGACCCAGGTGTAGCAGAGGGACCCCTGTGGTGGCTGGAATTTTTGAGCGTGCCACTCACATCTAATGCTGAATGATGTCTGAGCTCAGGCCACCACATTTTCTGTCTGAATGTGGAGAGGGGTTATTGCTTTGCCTGGAATCCTGCACAGTAAGGCATTTAACTTGCATATCTCCATGGAGCAAGGGCGTAGGTTTGAATAGGGACGGTGGGGACATGTCACAACCAATATTTGGGAAAGACAAATTAGTCCCTACCAATATTTGCCATTTTATTTTAATTAATTAAAAAAAAATATATATATTTTTTTACGATATTTCTCCAAACTCAATAGTATTAATTTAACATGTTTTAGTTCACTTTTTTTTTTTATTGGATGTTCTGAGATGTATTCAGTGATATGACGACAGAGTTACCCCTACCGCTGTTTCATTGGCTGCAACAGAGTGATGTCACTAGTGGTTCCAGGAGCCTAAACTGGGGAAGCAGCAGGACAGGGCCAGCACCTGAAGGCGGTTTCAGCAGGCGTGAGTGAAGACGCTGCGTACCAAACTCTGAAAAATGTTTCAAAAGGAACTCACTTGGCTTCATCTTCAATTAAACTTGTCTTATAATGAGTCGCCGTGGAAAAAGAGCGCCTATAACCACAAGTGCACCTCCCAAATGGAGAACTACTCGTGCACTGTGAGCAGCCGGACTCTACTGACAATATTCCATGGGAAAATGTGTGGACATTACCTCACAAATATCATTACCAACAAGCAAAGGGAAATCTGCTACAAACTTCTACATCCGCTAAACAGTCATCTTAAATGGGTCACAAACTGAACTGAAAAATCTCTAATTTATTTTGGACCTGCCCAGACTCTGTGTGTTTTTGGAAAGAATTCATAATAAAACATATACGCAACTTCTTATTCCATTTTACCTTTTTTATATAAAGATGTGCTGTTTGGTTTTTGCAGTGGACATCATAGGAAAAGTAAGTATAAGTAGTTATATAATTAATCTGTTAATCAAGTAGCCTATCAGTTGGTTTCAGGAGGGAGGGTTAGCTGATAATGTCCCCACCAAAGATGAGACCAAACCTACACCCTTGCCATGGAGACAAGTCAGATCTGTGGAGAGGCAACCGCTGTCAGAATTATATGTATTTTTGAAAGTTTTTTGAAGTGTGGAGTATCTCAGGCACAAGTGATTAGAAGACCTCAACAAACTCATTTAGTTCATTAAAACATTTGCATTGATGACCGGAGAGATACATTTAAGAGATAAGATAAGTGAAGTTTTCAGGCGTTATTTAAACAAACCTGGAAAACGATTTTGTTGAACTGTCAGCTTTTCATGCCATCAGAGTGAAAATTAGTAGACATTTATTCACATAGATTTCCATGTGTTTTTCTTGTAGAGTGTAACTTTGCACCATTCATACTTCGGAATCAAAGGCAGAGCTGCGTGAGACTCGCTCAAATCCCCCCAGTAGTTTGATGTGAGCGAGGGGCCTGAGTCAGACTACAATAATGGTGTCACTGAAGTGTTTGTGGTGAAACCGTTTTCTTTTTGGGAACAGTGAAGCAGGCACAGAAAACTTGTTATCCCGACTCATGGTGTGGAACAGTGGTGAGCTGGATCCTGAATAAAGGCTGATTTATGTTACAGTGAAGTTTGAAATTGTGCGAATACAAAAGAAATGGAATAGATAAATACACACTGGTTTGGACTGGGGTGTAGATATGATAGGTTTGTGCATAAAGTATAGAGATTTGAAATTGAGATTCAGACATTTCTAATCAATGATGCGCCTGGGTGTTTTTAATCAAGAAGTAAAACCATGTGGTTTGGAGCAGAGTTTAGACTTTCAAGGAAGATTTGAGTTATTTTTCAATATAGTTTGTATGTTTCTTTTCAGGAAATTGCTATTGTGATCGATCCATTCTGATTTGGATTGTGAGGAGTAGTGGAAATGGAACAGCAAGTACACATGAAGTATAAATTATTGTATACTGCACTATTCATCCAGTGCAATGTGATGCAGGTTTGTATCATATACTTTGCTCAGCGTTTTGTTCAGATCTCAGTTTTATCTTGTTCTTCAGTAGTAGTTGAGTTACTTGGTAGTATTTCCCCCAGGGCATTGCTGTTCAAATGATTTATTCACAGCAGAAGAGCCACTGAGCTGAAATGATATTTGTCTGACAAACTCAATGTGGGACACAGATGCTCTTTAAAGGTCCTATATTACGCAAAATTGACTCCTGTGAACTTTAAGCCATGATATAATGTGGTTACCTCATGAAAAAGTAGTTTTGTTTCATTCACACATGGTTGAGTAACTCTGCACTATTAGACTGTGTGTTTCTCCATAGTTCAAAATGCAAAATTGGCCTTCACTTCAGTAGAAATGAGCAAGTCCAGGGCCAAAATCATCCTAATGACTTTAGTGAAGGTGAATGGAGTTTAAAAACACAGTGGAGCACACTGACATAACAAGGTGGAACAGAGTATTTTCTGTTTGAGAGAAGAACTCATCCTAAATCTGCAGACTTTGTGTGTTAAACATGTGTGAATGAAACAAAACAAATCTCCATGTATGTCTATGACAAGAAAACAACATTATAACCCATCCAGCCATTCATTTTCTTCCACTTATCTGAGGATGATGCCCGAGTCACCTCAGCTGGCTCCTCTCAGAGGAGCAGCGGCTCTACTCTGAGCTTCTCCCATATGGCTGAGCCCCTCACCCTATCTCTAAGGGAGCGCCCAGCCACCCTCTGGAGGAAACTAATTTCTACCGCTTCTATCCGCAATCATGTCTTTTCGGTCATTAGCCAGAGCTCATGACCATAGGTGAGGGGTAGAACATAGAATGACTGGTAAATCAAGACCTTTGCCTTCCAGCTCAACTCCCTCTTCACCAGAACGGTTCGATACAGCAATTGCATCACTACCGACGCTGCACCGATCTGCCTGTCAATCTCACGCTCCATCCTCCCCCTCACCCATGAACAAGACCCCGAGATACTTGAATCCTCCACTTGAGGCAGGGACTCTCCACCCACCTGAAGAAGGCAAGCCACCTTTTTCTGGTCAAGAACCATGGCCTCGGATTTAGAGGAGCTGAGCCTTATCCCACCTGCTTCACTATGTTACAACATTATAACATTACATTATAAGTGCACTTTAAAGAAAAGTCAAATATTCTCTAGACTCAATCTCTCTGTTGTGTAACGAGTCTTTTATGTACTGTGTTTAGTCACTGATAGTTTCAATACTTTCTGACTCTTTTAGACATAAATACAAACTTGAACACTAAAATGCTGTTTAAAGCCAACAGTTGAAGTGAATAAAATGATGTAATGGGCTGTATTTTTGCAGCATGCCACAGATGTTTGAGGAGTCAGCTCAAACCTCTCCATATGGGTATACTCACATGTGCTTAATCTAATTGTGCGAACCACTCAAAGAGAATTGCTCAATTATATTTTTTGGAGCGTATAAAAGACTAATACAAATGGGCTGCGGCTCTACAGGGCAAGTGTATTGTTTTTGTTATTCTAATTATATGGATAATGGGCCTTCTTCATAACAAAACTGTACTTCTAATCAGGGTTTTAGATCAGCAATATGAGTCACAGCAGTGCATTGAAATGTGAAGTACTTTCCATATTAGACATTTAAATGTCCTGTGTCACACAGAATTAACTCTTATGAGCTTTAAGCCATGTTAAAATGCTGTCAAAAACATACCTGGACTTCTGTTTTGTTTCATTCACACATTAGAGTAAATCTGGTTTATTGATCTGTCAACATCTTTAAAGCTCAAAATACTCTGTTCCACCTTGTGCTGTCACTTAGTATCAGTTTTCAAGTTCACAGCTACTTTTACTTCACTTGAGATTGTCCAAATGATTCTAGTGAAGGTGTAGGAGCTTTAAAACACAGTGGAGCACTTCCTGTTTTATCACATGACATGACAAGGTGGAATGTAGCCTTTCAGTTTAACAGAGGAACACAGCCTAATTTTGCAGGGATAGTGTGTTAAAGAGTGTTGTGCAAAAATATCAAAATATTGCTATATCTTGTCGTTTAATGTGATGACACAGTATCGATATTGTGGGCTGCTGTATCGATATATCACCAAGAATATTTTTTGGTATATTTTACTAAATTATTTTGTTAGAGAGCTACAGTTTTGTTGTTTGTTCAGAGGAAGGAAACTTCTTTGTGCAAATCATTTGTTATTTTCACTGTTTTGATGAGTAAAACATTTGTTATTTCATATGAATTTTGCACAAGAAGTGGATTAACAAAGACTTTTAGTATCACAGCCTTCATTTAGCCATTATTTTATTGAACCATATCGAATCGATTTGAAATATGTTGTATCAAATCAAAAGTGCACTGTGTCGAGATATGTATCGTATCATGACCTATGTATCGAGGTTTGTATCGTATTGGCAATTTGTTAATGATACCCAGCCCTAGTGTTAAACATGTGTGAATGAAACCAAACAAAACTTTGATGAGGAAACATTATAACATAGATCAGAAAATAGTTCCCTTTAATGCAATATTTCAGCACATTAGAGAATATATAAAAAGGTGAGAAGCATTAAAGTGGAACTACAGTAATACTTAGAACTTATCAATTGTTTTTGTCTCAGTATTACATCACTTGAGTGTGACCCTGATGCAGAAATGTCGCCATCTGCTGGTTTTGGACACAAACTACACGTCTTAACACATCTTTCCCCTCTTTCACAGATCTCCTGCTGAAAAGGCCCAGCCCCACCCGTCTTTTCTTATGTGAGCTTCAAAAGTAACTGCAGCATGGAGGGAGACAGCCCGCAGAACTCCTCTGTCAACCGGACCATGGACGTCCAGCTGGTCACGCACAGTCTGTGGGAGGTCATCACCATAGCGACTGTCTCCGCCATAGTGAGCCTCATCACTATAGTGGGGAACGTCCTGGTCATGCTGTCCTTTAAAGTCAACAGCCAGCTAAAGACCGTCAACAATTACTACCTGTTGAGTTTAGCAGCTGCTGATCTCATCATTGGAGTTTTCTCGATGAACTTGTACACTTCGTATATTCTAATGGGATACTGGGCGCTGGGGAATCTTGCTTGTGATCTGTGGCTGGCGTTGGATTACGTGGCGAGTAACGCATCCGTCATGAACCTACTAGTGATCAGTTTTGATAGATACTTTTCCATTACGCGACCTTTGACCTACAGGGCCAAAAGGACTCCCAAAAGAGCAGGGGTTATGATCGGTTTAGCCTGGCTGGTATCGTTAATTCTATGGGCCCCACCGATCCTCTGCTGGCAGTATTTCGTCGGAAAGAGGACTGTGCCCGAGAGACAATGCCAGATTCAGTTTTTCTCGGAACCTGTTATAACATTTGGGACAGCAATTGCAGCGTTCTACATCCCAGTTTCAGTCATGACTATTCTGTACTGCCGGATCTACAAAGAAACGGAAAAGAGGACCAAAGACTTAGCCGAGCTTCAGGGGACATCTTACCCAACTGATCATAGCGTCAGCCAGCCGCAGAAGACAATAATAAGATCTTGCTTTAGCTGTAAACTCAGATCAACACCACATGACCGAAATCAAGCCTCCTGGTCGTCATCAAGCAGAGGTAACGCTGTCAAATCCGCAGCTGCAACCAACGATGAGTGGTCCAAAGCCGGAGCACAGACTTCTTTTAACAGCTACGCATCCTCGGAGGATGAAGAAAGGCCTGCGTCTCCCAAGGGATTCCAGTCCACCTTCAGGAATCAGGCGTGCGAGGCGGGAAAGAAGAAAGACGAAAACGAGCAACTGAGCAGCTACGACGAGGACAGTTACTTCCAAACGCCGCCCAAGAGCAACTCGCAAAAGAGCGGGAAATGCGTGTCGTACAAGTTCAAGCCCGTCGCCAAGGACAACAGGCAGGCGCAGGGCAGGAACGGCGATTCCAAAACGCAGCTGAATTTCAGTTCGGCGGAATCCGTAAGCGTTCCGTCCACCTCGTCTACGTCGAAACCTACAGATTCGTCGCTCAAGAATCAGATCACGAAGAGGAAAAGGATGGTGCTGATCAAGGAGAAGAAGGCCGCACAGACTCTTAGCGCCATCTTGTTAGCCTTCATCCTAACATGGACGCCGTACAATATTATGGTGCTGATTTCTACCTTTTGTTCAGACTGCATCCCTCTGTCCCTGTGGCATTTAGGATACTGGCTGTGCTACGTCAACAGCACCGTTAACCCCATGTGCTATGCGCTCTGTAATAAGACCTTTCAGAAGACTTTCCGCATGCTCTTGCTCTGTCAGTGGAAGAAGAAGAGGATCGAGGAGAAGCTCTACTGGTATGGACAGAACCCAGTGGTCAGCTCCAAATTGACGTGATCAAACTGTTTTTTATCAATGTGAAACCTACAGGCTACACCAGGCATACTGCTTTAAATAATACAAAATATGCTAAGTTTAAAGTAAAACAGTATTCTTAAGACAGTTGTTCTCACCTGGTTTAAAAGTGAGACTAAAATCTCAATCTGTGTTCAAAAGACCCACACTCAATTTTGTTGAGAGCCACTACTTCAGTAAACAGAGTAGAGAAGGGTTCAGCGGTGGTATCTATCCTGGACACCGTTTTGTTTTGTTTTTTTGTCCAGATGACCACTGTTGAAACTTTATCTACCACTCCTGAACGAATGAGAGATTACATTGTCTCATTCAGTACACAGAGAAATGTGTATGATAGTAAATAAGTAAAAGTCAATGGCAAAATAAATCTACAGTGCGTGATTTGTGAGTATGTGTTAAAGTGGACGAACGTCAAAATGAGGCAGATGTGTAGTACTTGATGTTTTGAGGAGTGTTTTCTGTTAAAGGGCTACTGCGTGTTGTACTGTGCTGTTGGGGTCTGCTTGTAAAGTCCAGATTGTAACTTGAAAATCAAAGCCTTGATATATGTGCCAATGTGTCATTAATCAAAACACAGCTTTCAGAATCCCTCATTTCCTGCCACCTCTCTGTACTCCTGGTCAAATGAGGTCCATACTATTTCCTGCATTGAACTCCACTTCATCATATACAGTACTGTATTTTGCTCTCCATCCTCAGGATATTGCCTTTCCCACATTTTGTGTTTTGCTGACCATTTTGCACTTGTAGGAGATTTGTAACCTGCTTTCTCTCATAATTCTGCATCTGTCTGCAGACTGTCCTAACTCTCATTGTTGACAAATGCTGTTGTAAGTGTTGATAACAAACCGTGGTACTTCTAGTGTGAATGACAATGATGCTTTGCTTTCTGTGCAATGACTTTGCTGTAAAATCTAGAGCTGAAACTAAACGTATGTTTTATATCCAGTGTTTCATATTCTGTGACCATGCCCATGCTTTTCAGAATAAAATGTGGCTAACTATGAAAGTCTGTTGCAGGGTTACACTTCAGTTTTTTCTTCAAATATGATTTTATTTTCAGTGTTTTTATAAAAGTAAAAATGCTTTACAGAATTGCATTGATCCAAAGTTAAGCAGGTGTATTTCAACCACTACATTACGTTAGTGATTTGAAACCAGCTGCACTTGTAATGTCCTCACAGCTCATCCTTCCTGCAGTCTGCTCCCTGCACCAGTTTGAATGTGTCTGAGGGCTTCACCATCATCCAGGCGTACTTGCACATGCGCTCCTTGTTACAGTCCTTCTGCCAGTAGATCACATTTCTGCGGTTGAGGTTTGCGCCGGCACAGGCATCGTACCACCAGCCCCCTCCCGCGACGCCCTGAAACTCCAGCTTGGCACAGTTTTGAAAGTAGTTGTCATTGTCCCTGTCCTTAGTGGTGAATCTCTGGTTGTCATGAAGATAGTTCTCTGTATCCAGGGTCAGCGCATCCACAGCGGTCCCCTGGAACAGACCCAGTCTCAGTCGAAATCCTGCAGCTTCATCTTCCACCAGAACTGGGTCGTACTCTCCTGTTTTGGTGACAGCGTCTTTGTCCACTAACTTTATTCCTAGTTTGTATCGCCCAGGGCTTTGTGTGAGCTGGTGGAGGTATTCATTCCCCAGCCAGTGATCCCCGGTGACGTCCCCAAACCCGTGCTTGTACTCAGCCCAAGTGCAGTCGAAGTTTACGCTGCTGTTAGCGGTGATGTGCTGCACCACCGTCCATCCACCCTCCTCCATGGCGCAATAGGCCACAATGGGAGCGTCCCTGGGCTGAATGAGGTACACTCCATCTCTGGCCCTCCCCGAAGAAGTCAGGAGCATCTCGTGGCAGTCTCTAGGCAACACTGGAGAGAAAGCAACAATCAGGAATAATAACACATATATAGACAATGAACGGTAATACTGAAATCAAACCATGAAGCTGAAGTATCCCCCACAAAGTATTTAAAATGTTTAATATTATTAAAATCCCAAACTACAATGAATAAAAAAATAATAGAATGCAAGACTTAAATGTGCACTGTGTAACTTATCTAGTAGAGCAGACATGTCAGGCTCAGGCTCAGGGGCCAAATTTGGCCCACGATATGATTATATTTGGCTCGCGAGATCATATCAAATATGTATTAGAGCTTCCGCTGGCTACAGATAGACTATAGAGACATTATTTATTTAAAAATGTGTTATTATTTTATATTATGCTTGTTTTGGATTCAATGTTTAAACAAAACTATTATTAAACATTTATTTAGGGTTTAAAAGGTTTAACATTACATATCTCAAAAGAAGAGAAAACATGCAGATGTTGAAATTTTTCAGTAAATATTTAGTTTGGCCCATGACTTGGTCCCAGTTTTCAATTTTGGCCCTCTGTGTTTGAGTTTGACACCCCTGTAGTAGAGGGTCAGCCAGTTACTCGTCTCCATGGAGATGTTCACCTCGAATATTCCAAAGTATGTTGTTAAACCTTTCAGTCTCCATAGAAACAAGTAGGATGTGTGAACAGGTGACCCCACTTACAGTCAGAATACATGTTTTTAAAGCAATTTTTAGCAATAGGCACACCCCTTATCAAATAAATGTATCTTATATAAGTTTGATACCATATTGTGGAACATTACACGCAAAGCAATCGTATCTCCTTAGTAGCAGACCCCCAAATCTGAAAAGTTATGCAGTACACCTTAAAGTAGGTAGTTAGTAATACAAGTTCATAATTCAACCCTCTACAGCTCAAATCTCATCGTAGTACAAAAAAATAACCAAAATTTCCCACTAGTGCGAGGAAAAAGTACCTACGATAAATACTGACCCTCAAAAAATATTCTTTCACCTGTGATGTATTAAGCAATAGGTCAATATAGTATTTATCGTGACATTTATCAGAAGCATGCCCAGGACAGGTGGTTTAATTTACTCTGCTATCTGTTACTACAAATGTCATTACGCTCCCAGTTAAACATTGCATGAACTTGATATAAAGCCAGACGATTACACATGCTGACTTAGGTGTAACGTGGATGACATCATAGAACACAGTCACACACAAGCACTAATCATGTCATGTCTAACGGTGATGCCCCAGCTCATAACCATAACCACACTATAGAATGTATAGGGCAGGGCAACCTCAGATAAGATAAAGACTTTAGAGGGATCAAAAGACGTTTTAATAGGCAGTGATTTGTTTTTCTTTTAATTCTAATTAAATAACAATAATTAATTCAAACTAAATTGCAATTAAACATGAAACAACACATATTCAACCCAATCCATGAACATCCAAAACTTTCTTCTACTGGCATTTTACTAACTTAAAGGCGCATTGTGTAAGGTTTCTAATGGAGTGTCCACCACCTGCTTGTTGCCATGGAAATGTCATTGCTTTGTCTAGAATGTTCCACAGTATGTATTAATCCTGTCTATAATGAGAGAGACAAGAAGGTTCCAGCACTAAGCTACCTTACAATTCAGATCTGTGGAGAGGTGCCTCATTCACAGAAGGAATTATTGCATTTTTGAGCAACAGAAACACCCATAATGAATAAATGCAAGAAAAAAACTTATATGTTTAATGTCATACCATGGAACATTCCAGGGAAAGCAATAACATCTCCATGGAGACAAGCAGGTAATGCACCTTTAATCTTTATGTTATATGTTTACAAATAATTTTACCAGTCAGTGCTAAAAAACACAAATTACTTAGAGATTGATCTAAAAATGCAGAACATATTTTCCATTTCTTATCTTTAAGTTCTATTATTATTATTTTTACCTTTCATGCCTTGATTTAACACCTGATTGTGTTGTTCTGGAGGAAGCATTTTCAGGTTGTCTGCTTTGAGATGCTCCATGTCGACTCCATTTACATCAAACATGAGCTGCAGGACTGCCACCAACCACAAGGACTTCATCTTTTTACTCTGTCAGAACAAAACAGCACACAGCATATTTACAATTTACAGTGATATCCTCTTATTGAAAAAAAAATTATATTAAAAAACGGAGTATAAGGTTTACCTGGTATGGGGCCACATGTATCAGGAATGTCTCTGTAGAAGAATGCCTTAACCCCACTGTGTATTAAGGACTAGAGGAGCTGGCGCAGCGCTGACTGAAATGCCTGATAGTTTGTGTGTGATTGTGTGTTGTCTCGTCACGGCTGGACTTCAGACTCAGGTTCACAAGACAGACAGATACAATCAGCTGCTTATCTGAGCCTCCTCCTCGATAAATCATGTAAATGCACCGATAGGAGCAGAGCGGGAGAGCCGTATATCTCACCATCTAACCACTGCTTCAATCACACAGGCCGTGAATGAGGCTGAAGTCCAGAGCAGAGATTCATTTTAGCGTGCATAGCTGCAGATTTGGTGATGTAATATTGTGAATTTCTTATAATAACGGTTTAATATGACATGAATAAATAACAGTAGTTGAAATTTTTTTTATAATTTATTAAGTCACTACAATTGCACATCATTTGAAATAAAAATACATTCATATCTAAAAATTGCACATTGTCCGGCTACAATTCAAAAGCCATTATCTTGAAAATCTTGTTTATTTTGTTTTGTTTGTTTTGTTTATCTTGTCAGGCGTCTTCATTGTTACCATGGTAACTGTGAAATGAATGAATCAATGGCCTGTGGTAGAAAAACCCACTAAAGTTAAACTGATGTTGAACTGTTTTAAATAGAGTAGAGTCTGTAAATACAACACAAACCATTGCCAAGTCTCCAGCTGATCCTGGCACAGATTTTAATCGAGGCTCCTGATGCCAGAGCTCCAATAACTGTTGGTTAAAGATCTGAAAATTCCTGGTAAAGAAAAATTGCCATTTTACTAAGAGATAAAAAACACAATTTAGTTTTGTATTGCTTTCAGAAATCACAATTACTTACTTATCCAATGGCATTTTAGTGCATCCACTTAGTCCGCTTTCTCTTAGCTCCTCCCACCAGTTTTTTAGAACTGAATGTATCCACTTTAAACCAACTATAATGTATCTGTCAAGTTCACAGTTATGTCAGTTTACTCTGTGTACACAAATATATTAAGACTTTTCAAATTGTTTAATTCTATATCCCAGCTGCTACGCTCGGCAAAACAATAATAAGAGCTGATAATTACACAGGAATCATATTTTGGACTGTTTTTGTGGTCGTACATAATAATATACTCACTCTTCATAAGGATTAGAAAGGATTTTCTTAACCAATGGAAAAAGGTCAACACAACAGCCAATAGAAACTGTCGGTGAGTCTTCAGATATACTGCGAGTAAGATTTATGATATAGTAAGCACTCAAAAGTCAGCATTGCTCTGTAAATGTGTAAGTTACTGCTACCTTTTGGTTATCACTGGGAGAAAGTCAACAAATACTCCAAAATCTTGTATTCTGTAGAAAGAATTAAAAAGTACAGTCTTATTAAAACAGAGCTACTGATTTGGATTTCAAACCTACAGTATGTTAATAAATTTGTACCTCAGGAAATATGTAAGCAGCTCTCCCACGTTTCTATTCCATAATGTGAAAGCCACTTTGAGTCGCAGGTTTCTCCCAAACAGAACATTAGTCATGGAGGTATGATCTTTTCTAATCTAGAAACATAACTCAAACTATTTAACAAAACAAATACTACTTTACTACAGCGTAAAAAGTAGTGAGAGTTTGCCAACCTCTGAGAGCAAACTGTAATCAGGCGGCTCAGGACCAGTTCTTCCAGTTCTGTGTTTATCCTGTGACAAATCCCACGGATCCATGCTAAATATTCCCTGTTCCATGTCTGTCTTAAGGCTCTGCTGGTTCTCCTTGTTTGCAGTCACATGCGGCTTCCCTGGTCCAGGTGCCTTCTTCCGAACCGCTGTCAGATGATGAGTCTTCCTCTTACAGGACACGACCCGCTTCACTCTGCCTGGGTTGGGACCAGGGCGGCTCACTGTAGCCCTGGGTGGAGTGGAAAGGTAGGTAAATATACTCTGAGCAGCAAAGTTTAACAGTGTGCAACCAGCCTACCTCTTCTTAGTGGAGTCCTCGTTTGTACAATAATCCATCTGCAATAAAATGTATAGAGCTAGTTAGAAAACCATGTATTCTGTATTATCATATTAAACAAACCAATATAAAACTGTAAAAATGCAATAACTTACTCTTTCTGTATTTCTGTAGGTCACTTTATACGGGGAGCTGTCCTGGTCAAGGATTTGATAATCACCATCCTGATAATTGGAATCCATTCTACCTAGGGCAATGAGAAAAAATGTTAAGAATGCAATAAAAGTTATCACACCCAACTATTTCTCGGAGAAATACTCCCGTTTGTAGAAGTTTAAAAGAATAAACGCTAGCAGGTGCAGCAGTTTGCTCCTCAGGCTTGTTATTGACCGCTGTTTCCTGCTGAAAAGCCCTTTGAACTCAATTTCCCATAATTCACCTGCCGTTGTTTTCACGTGACGTACACAGGAAATATCGCAGAAGAAAACAAAAGCCGCTCTGTGAGTTTTGTTTCTTAATTTAATTAATTGACGCTGTTATTTCAGCATTGTTTCACGGATTTCCTGGCACGTCTGTTATTTAATTGTCCGAGAATCGCGAGGCTTTCAAAAAAGTCATATGTTTAGCAGGACCACTTGTTATTCAATAATCAGTTAATATACGGGAAATAAACGCGACAAATGATGGAAGCTAATCTCAAATGTAGGATAAGTTTTGATTAATCAGTGAGAACTCATTTATGTTAGTCAAGAAGCTTTATCATCTGATCACTAATACTCACAGCATTTTCGAATCACAAAGGCACGCCAATCTCAAGGACTTTAATTCTGGGTTCACTTGTTGGAGCCACAGATTTCCTTGGGAGTTTCCTCCGGTCACTGTCATGTCTCCAACCGACTATTTGAACAGATAATACCGCCTTTATAGGAGGATCAAGTGCTCCTTTTTTCACTTGTGCACTCAACGCGCGCCCTCTAGTGACCTTTATATGCTCAGGCAACTGGAGGTAAAACTAGAGGTTAAAAAAAACTCCACTATAGCACATTTCATTTTCAACAAATCCCACTGGTTTTATGCCTTTATAACTAAACGAATTGCCTGAGTATAAATGTTTTTTACAGAAGGAGTATAATTAGTGGCAAAATAAAAATAAATAAATAAATAAATGTAAAATATAATTGTAATAAAACTAGGCTATGATATCACTTATAGACAGCTGAGTGTTTTTTATTTGCTAAACACCCCTTGGTTTTTCATATTTTGTAATATCCTGAAGGTTTTATCATTGAAACTGCATTGTGTTCAGTCTCACTTTTGCCTCCAGTTGCCTCTATTATGTAATTTAGAATGTATTAGTTTGCAAACCTTTTAAAAACACTATTGTTTGTAATTTCAGGGTGCTCTTGAAATTGTGCACGACTATAAATGCACTCTACCTTATTCCTATAGTGTCAGCCATTTTGCCTTTCTAGTGTATTGATCTTGGACATGCCACAGCTTGTTTGAACTTAATCCTAGTGCACTTGACCTCACTGCAGGAGGCTACTTCCCCAATTGCACAATGAAAAATGGCATCAGCTCCTTTTATTCACACATCATCTATTTCTGCACATGCTTTGCTGAGTCTGCTCTCCCTCTCTCTGTTTCATCATCCAGGAGGACTGCTGTTCACTGATTCCAAGGCCTAAACACTCACATTATGTGATCACTAAGCTTTGGTAAGACTTCTGTTCTATTCTTCTAAGAGAGTCTATCTAATAAATCTATCACAGGGGTGTCAAACTCGTTTTGGTCTGGGGGCCGTATCCAACCTGCTTTGATTCCAAAGGGGCCAGATCAGAAAACTCATGGCATATAGACCCCAAAAATAGCAATAAGTTCAAATATTTGTGCAGAGAAACGCAAATTTATTACAGAATTGTTTTTTTAATTGATGAACTCCTTCTTGTACAAAATATTATAATATTATGAAACTTTAAGAAAATGCAATTTCAGCACAATGTTTTAAAAATAACTTGTATGCAAATAGGAATAAGTAAATTTTACTTGGAAAATCCTGCACTCGGCATCCACTTTTCTCATTTTTGACATTTTGCTGATGAGGGTGTCACGGTCAACAGTCAAAACGATCGTCCTTTAAGAGCATTTGGAAAGAGGCAAGTCTTCATTTGTGCTGCTCTGGTGGGAGGGGCCACGTACAGAGGCTCTAGAGACACTGCTATGATAAGCACCGCAGAAAATTACCAATATTTTAATAGAAAATATAATTAAAATATTTTTGTAGAAAATCAGCCGAGGGCCAGATTAAAGGTCTTGGAGGGCTGGATCTGGCCCCCGGGCCGGATGTTTGACACTCCTGATCTATCATATGATTATAGTCTTGTGACTGTATGACTGTATTGTTTTGTGACTGTGTTGTTCTATTGCAGACCAAAGCAAAATGGAGCTTATCTGCACCATCTGTCTCTTCTTAAATCTTGCTCCTTGGCTGGTGCTTGGTCTTCCTCCGACATGGACCCAACCAGAGCAGGTGCACCTTTCATATCCAGGTAAGCACATACATTAATAAAAAAAATATTTAAACGTATTATTTTATAAAGAAAGTGTTTTTAATAATCGTAACATTTTAATGGATATATGTGATTTGCTTATAGACTTAGACTTTATTGATCCACAAGGGAAATTATTTATGCAGCACTATCATAATTTGATGTTAAAGCTCCTATATTACGATAAATTGACTCATGCGCACTTTAAGCCATGTTAGAATGTCCTTAACTTCTCAAAAACATACCTGGATTTGTGTTTTGTTTCACTCATACATGTTTGAGTAATCCTGGGTTATTAGTCTGTCTACATCTCCAAAGCTCAAAATGCTCTGTTCCACATTGTGACGTCATGAAGCGGTAGTTTTCAAGTTCATAGCTCCTTTTACCTTTTGTTCAGTAGAGACTGGCAATAGTGAGGCTGAAATGATTTAAATGATTCTAGTGAAGGCGTATGGAGTTTAAAAACACAGTGGAGCACTTCCTGTATTACAACATTAAGAGTGTTTTCTTTTTGAGAGAAGAACATGGCCTAAATATGCATGTTTTTTGTGTTAAACATGTGTAAATGAAACAAAACACAACTCCAAGTATGTTTGTGATGAGGAAACAACATTATTAATTAAATTAATCAGATCTAGCATAATACAAACCCTATAATTATTGCATTGCAGTATATTCCCCATAGCCTTTTATCTCTACTTATTTAGTCATTCTCAAGTTATATTAGTACTGCTAAAATCTTCTACCTTCTACATCTGCAGCTCTAAATCTTCTCAATAAAGACATTTCCAAACTTCTTAGTAATAACCAGTGATTTCCCTCCAGGAGTCCCAGGTTCGATGGAGGTTACGTGGACGACCTTTAATAAAACAGGCAGCACAGTGGAGTATGGGCGTCTGGGAGGGCGCCTCTTCGCCTTGTCTACCCAAGGCAAAAGCACTTTATTTGTGGATTCAGGAGATGAGAAGAGGTCCATGTACATCCACAGAGTCATCCTCACCGGCCTCAAACCTACTGCAACCTATGGTCAGTGGCTATGTTTACATCTGCATCTGTTCTCTGATGTGAGTCATCTGATTTCTTTCACACATGAGCAGCTTCTGACAAGGAAAATTATTACTTAAAGGTTGTATAGAGGATTTTCCAAGGAACGAGAAATCCAACGACTGTTTGTCCTTTTTCAAATGTTGCGCATGCGTGAAACCACCCCCCCTCCCCTACAGCTCCCTACGTAGAAACACCTCCTCCCGCCTCCTCTTTACGCCAGAAACAGGTTTGTTTGTTTACAGCCGGTGAGCTGCACATGACTTGTAAACAACTAACTACAGTGTTGTTTAGGCAAGGCGGAGAAGTGAGGAGCGGGGGGAGCGGGTGCGCGGACATTTCGTGCGCAGACAAGAAGCGAGGAGCAGGGAGAAGAGCGGAGCAGGGAGCAGGGAGAGGAGAGAGGAGAGGGGAGCGGAGATTTCGTGCCCGGAGAAGTGAGGAGCAGGGGAAGAGCGGATCGGGCAGCGGGGAGAGGAGCAGGAAAGGGGTGCAGAGAAGGTTGCGCGGAGATTCAGTGCGAATGAACTAGCTACAACACGCAGCAGCAAGCGGACTCTTTCTTTGCACTGAAAATTACGTTTTCAGACATAGGATATCGCTTTTGTGTCCTGAAAAACGTTTGTCTAGCTCTTGGAAATAAAGTACGTTTTCATAATAAGCAGAAGTGACCTGTCCAGGAGTAATTTGGCGACCAATGCGTCAGTCTTTAGACCCTGCGTCTGCTTCAGTTGCGGTATCGCTGGAATGAATCTTCAAGAATCACCTTAATTTGGATTCGCTGCTTTTCCCCTTGTCTTCTTCTTTCAGCAATCTCAAAAGCGGACTTTCTTTTGCGGCTAACTGCTCCTGGATTCTTGTCTGCCATTGCAACAAACTTTGTGCGAACTACGAGGAAGATATAGGTAAAAAAAAGCCGCTAAGAACTGTTGCGTTGGTGGAGTAAACAGCGTCTGTGCGTCTTGCGTCTGTGGACTGCCTGACAGACGTACGTAAACCACGTACCGGCGGCGCAGGCAAGTCAGTTACGCTAGAAACGTAGGGAGATTGATTGACAGCCTGTCAGCTAACAGATAACGAGGCAGTGTCGTTATCTATTGGCAAATGTTTAGCTAGCCCCACCACGTCCAGAGTTGATGAATTTTTATTCTCTTTTTTTTTGGTCATCATAATTACAAGGCTACTGCACCTCTATAATGCTATCATTGACAATTTGAAACAAAAAAAAATCCTCCATACAAGCTTTAAGATGTACTAGTGTTTTCTGTGAAAGAAAAAACTAAAATAGTGTAATATGGACTCTTTAATGTTTTCTCTTTGTTTTTGGTCTTATTAGTTAACCTATTTAGTTAAAGGTTGTATTCTCCCTGCTCCTCACTTCTCGTTCGCGCACGAAATGCCCACGCACCCGCTCCCCCTGCTCCTCACTTCTCCGCCTTGCCTAACCAACACTGTAGTTAGTTGTTTACAAGTCATATGCAGCGCACCGGCTGTAAACAAACCTGTTTCTGGCGTAAAGAGGAGGCGGGAGGAGGCGTTTTTACGTAGGGAGCTGTAGGGGAGGGGGGGTGGTTTCACGCATGCGCAACATTTGAAAAAGGACAAACAGTCGCTGGATTTTTCGTTCCTTGGAAAATTCTCTATACAACCTTTAATACAGGAAGTGCTCCACTGTCTTTTGACACTCTATACACCTTCACTAGAATCATCTGGATAATTTCAGCCCTGGAATTGTCTCAATTGAACCAAAGGTAAAAGGTAATGGGAGGGTAAAGGGTACTGTTTACCCAGGGCCCAGAGCAGGGAGGGGCCCTTCACAAAATTAATAATATGCAGTTTTCATATAGAGAACTTGTAATACAGGCCCACCAAGATGATTTGTACCCAGGGCCCAGAATTTTGTACTGTACCCCTGGCTTGGAAATGACCGCTTCATGACATCACAAGGTGGAACAGAACATTCTGAGCTTTTGAGATGTAGACAGATAATAATAAAGGATTACTGAAACTTGTGTGAATGAAACAAAACACAGCTCCAGATGTGTTTTTCATGAGGTAACAAGATTATAACATGGATATAGGACCTATAAAGATTGAAAGAGTTAATTAATTACTTGCACATTGTCTTCCAAATCATCGTTTACTCAAAAAAATCTCTTGATTAACTGTCAGATATGACCAAATGTTTGGATGATCTGATTTCTTTTGTGCATGTAAACACCAAAAATCAGAACTAAATATTGGATTATCTGATTATTTTAGTTTTTATTTAGTTTTACTGGTCATGTATATGATGGAATAGAGAGCCTCATTTTAGTGCCAGGACAACTGCCTAAATTATTCACATACTGTGCCCTCTTTGTGCCTGTTTTAGTGTACCACTGTGGCAGTGATGAAGGCTGGAGTGATGTGTTCTATTTTACGGCTCTGAACGACAGCGTCCACTTCAGCCCAAAGTTTGCCCTGTACGGGGACCTCGGCAACGAGAACCCACAGTCACTGGCCCGCCTACAGAAGGACACCCAGCTGGGAATGTATGACGCCATTCTACACATCGGTAAGGTTTACTGTCAATCACACAAGGAACATGTATAGTCCAGTGTCTTCTGATAATTTATGTTATTAGGATTTTTTTTCTGACTAAGAGTTTGTTTTCACACCTGACAGTTTTGACTGCTCACTAGCGCTCTTCCTCTGAGTGGTCACGTGATGTTGGTGTGACATGTCCGGATTGCAGTAGGGGGACAGCACCAAAACCACGTGACCACTCTGAGGAAGAACGCTAGTGAGCATTCGAAACTGTCAGGTATGAAAAAAAAACCTTAGTTTGAAAAAAGAACCTAATAACATAAGGAACATATATATATCTTTTTAAGGTATAGTATTGACAGTATTGATAGTTTGCAATGACATCACGCTGGGGGTGTTCTACATGCACCTGCACTGGTGTTCAACAGTTACCATGGTGACACAATGCGCACATTAACACTAACAAATAAGTTTTAAGAAAACTCAAAGTACAAAATAGATTTAAACAATTAATTTTCAGGAGCCTGTGATCAATATAAGTGTTCATGGTCCTCTTCAGGTGTTTGATTTTCAACTAAAAAGTAGAGAGTGACCAACTGAAAAACTATATGCTAATGCTTGCTAGATTGTCATTTTTGAGTAAGAGACTTGTTTAACAGCACAAATCATCTCACCTATCCAACTAAGTCAGCTCTTTTTGGTTAGATTGTGTTCAAATAAAGTTTAAGTCTAACTTGAGTAACAGAGCTTCAGACAGAGTAGTGCTTTCAGTTAGCTTCACACCCCCAGGGCATGTTGATGATATTAGCTGCAAAATATAACTAGTGGATGATTACATTAGAGTTCTGTGGCTTCCATTAAAAAAAAAATCTAATATCTTTCTCTATCTGTTTTTTTCAGGTGACTTTGCGTACGACATGCATGAGGTAACTCCCTCTATGACACATTAGTGGCTTTTTAAGACTCGTGACAACAGAAATCTTTCACCAGAAGCTCATAGCTCTAAATCCTATCAGACATGCTCCTAATTCCACACTGACAGATGAGATAAACTCCCTCTCTGGGCCTTCCCAAAGCTCTCCCATGTTATTATCAACACGTACATTACTACTGTCGCCTTAATGTTAGGGAAAATACACAAGTTATGATAACCTTTATAGATAAATTAAAAAGCTAAAATAAATGTTGACATGTACTCAGATGCTTATCAGTCATACAACAAAATTAGTTTGGTGTAGCCTCTTCAGTACCAGCACACCAGCCAGTATGGAATTAATGAATATAATATAAAGTACTTAAAATGCCTTGGATAGTGCTTTTGATACTGCAGTGATATCACGCTGGAGGTGCATTTTTTCATGGTGACACAATGCACACATTAGCAATAACTACCAAAAATGTTGGACAAAATGGATGGAGTTCATAGTTTACTAGGGGTGTAACGATATCTAAGTCTCACGATACGATATCGTCACGGTATGATATTTATTGAGATATTTTGTGGAGGCTGACAAAACTGTTAATATGCAATTTTTTTTTCCTTTTAAAATGCCTTGACAAGACTTAATCCAAAGAACTAAGACTTAAAAGTGTTTAGAACTGTTATTTCTTCTTGTAGTCTACACTGAAATCGAGCAAAGGATCATGGTCTATGTAGTTCCCTCGAGATTTGTAATTTGATATATTGTGATGGTCCACGATATTATTGTGAGGACTTTGATGATTGCGATATCACGATATTTCGGTTATTGTTACATCCCTATGGTTTACGTGTTTGATTTTAAACAAAAAATGAGAGTGGCTAAAACTGCTGGCTAATCCTAGTTAGCTTGTGACACAAATTTTAATGTGTAGAAACCTGTTTAACACCACAAATCATCTCATCTGTTGTAGTTCTATCAATGTCAGACAGAGGAGGGCCTAACGTTAGCATCACACCCCTAGGGAAAGTTGATTATCAGCTACAAAATATCAATATAAATTCATTGCATTGTTATTGTACGTATTAGAGCAGGTATTGATACTGAAAAATGAATCCATTTAATTTTTTTCTTATAGCCTTGACTTGTATGAAGTGATTCAATAATAATATGGAGATCATATCAAGTATCAAGTTTTTTTCTAGCTTTTTTCACAGTTTTGGCAATAACAGATCCCTACATTTTTGCGAGCAGATCCTTGTGTTGTTATTAATATCTATATGGTAACAGTAGATTCAATCCACATACTATGAATAACCACATCCCCGTTGGGCTGTCAGCTTGAATGCAAAAACATATCCTGTGGCTTTGGTGATATTTTCAAATAGAAAAGCAGACGTCGGTGCTATGTGAATGATACAGTGCGTTCCTGGAGACGTCTGCTAAAGCTGTTAATATTTAGTGGGCAAATGGAGAAAAGGTCTTCCTGTCTGGTGCTATGTGAAATATGTAGCGTCATGTCTGATGGTGTTTGTCGTTCCAGGATAACGCCAGGATCGGGGACGAGTTCATGAGGCAGATCCAGTCTATCGCAGCCTACGTGCCGTACATGACCTGCCCTGGGAACCATGAGGCCACTTAGTAAGTTATAAACTATACACTTATTTTAATCACAAATACTATACTAATACATTTATGAAATGAACTTAAATGTCCTACATCAGGTACTTCTATTACTCTTGGCAAGACAGTCAGTTTTGCTCCATTGTTGAAGAACACGTGTTGAACTTCCATCCAAATAAACAATTGAAAAAAACAACTAAAATGTTTCTTAAAGGGCCCATATTATGCTGTTTTCTGATCTATGTTATCTCATAAAAACATACCTGAACTTGTGTTTTGTTTCATTCACACGTGTTTAACACTTAAATCCAACACATTTAGATTCTCTCAAACTGAAAACACTTTGTTCCACCTTGTGATGTCATGTGGTGATAAACTTCATACACCTTCCTTAGAATAATTTGTATTTGTATTTGTAGGATAATTTGTATTACAGCCCTGGAAATGCTGATCACTACTAAACAAAAAGAAAAACCTTCTTTACAAAGTATGACTTCACGATATCATAAGGTGGAAAAGAGGATTTTAAGCTTTGGCGATATAGGCAGACTAATATTAAAGGGTTACTGAAACATATGTGAATGAAACAAAACACAACTCCAGGACTGGTTTTGATGAGGTAACAACAGTATAACATGGCTTGAAGCTCACAAGAGTCAATTTAGCATAATGTAGGACCTTTAAAGTTACAACATGCAACATTCTGGGAATCATACATCATCAAGTTAAGACCATACTTGAGAAGATTCTCCATGGAGATAAATATGTTTTATACTGTGGAATATTAAAGCCAAAGGTACAAGATTTAAGTAAACAAGCCGGAGAAGGCCCTCCACCAGGCCAAATAAGAGTCAGGTTTGTTGAGATGCAAGCTCACTCAGAGTAAGGATGCGTGTTTTTTCACTTTTCCAGTGCAATCAAGACAACCAAAATTAAAGAGAAATGTACATAAGCTTTAAGTTATGAATAGGAACAAAATTATTTTATTAATATCTGTAGAAGGTGAGTGCCACAGTAGTGATTAGTAATATGTGTATTATTTGTAGTTATTTTAGTAGAAAACAGTAGCTTTAATTGTGGTGCTAGTAGTTGTTGACGTTATAGTTATAGTTCCCCACTGTGGGACTAATAAAGGCATATCTTATCTTATCTTATCTTATTAATAGTAGTTTGCATATTAGTATTAATAGTAACTGTAGTGGTAGTAAAAAGAGAATTACGTGAGGCTTAAAGTTGTTATAGTAGTTGTATTTGGAGTTGGGTTCTTTGTTTAGTATTTAGCAATTGTTGTTTTTTGTGTCCATATTATGAGTATGTTTCTCATTGTTCACATGGCATCTAATTGTTTCTCAATATTTATTTGAAGAATTGAAAGCTCAGCACAAACGTCAACACTCCATCCCCGCACCGTCTGCCTGCTGGTCTCGATTAGTGGCTGTTTTCTCAGGGTTGTACTATAGTAATTAATGGGTTTGGGCAAAGACAGGAGTACATACTGTATACTACGACTGCAAAGGTAGTCTGCCAAACACCACATGACAAATTACCTTCACGTTTAAGCCGCTGTAAATGAGAAGAACACCGGAGTATTTCTTTTCAGACAGGAGCTATTTTGGGCTCGAAAGACTGGAGCGACATCAGGAACATCCAACCTCCAAATAAAAACACGCACTCCAAAACAAACACTGTGTTCTTCCTGGGTTCTATCAGGTCACAATCTGTTTTTATGTCTTCTATGAAGGAAAATGTGCATCAAAACCCAATGTGTTATTATCATTCAGACAAAGAATCTTTCTGGAAGTTTAATCAAAGAGGGAGGAAACCTTTGCTATGTCAGTACGCGAACGGTTTTCAGTAAACAACTCCGATTTAGTATGCGATATAGTCTTGTGTTCTTTTTTTACACACGTTCTTTCATATTGCACATATGGATGGATATTTAGGCAATAAACACTCAGCAGACAACTTATAACCACCATGTTGGTGGTTTGATCCCTGCTGTGACCTGTGTAGACTGCAGTTCTGTCGTTCTGTGAAGTGTCTTGCCCAATGATGAGACACCACCCGCCTTGTCTATGTGACCAAATTGGCAGCCACATTTCTGTCAGCCTCTGGGGCAGAACATCTAAAACTGTAATGAGAGCTTGTAATGCACAAAATAAATCAAAGCAGTTATGTATTATTATTCTAATACGGTCGATTCATCACACATGCTTTTATCCATAGCATATTGACGTTACTCGGTCCCACTCATCATTCCACCTTGTCTGTTCCTAAATCTCCCTCCTAAATGACCTTGCGTAACATGCGCATTTCACATGATTTATACATCCCTGCTCCATAATATTTACCTATGATACTTCAACTCTCATCTGGTCCTTTCTCGCCTGCTCATCATTAGGAGGTTCAACAGTAGTCTCTTATTCTTGGCTTCATGTCATACCATCAGATTCTGATATCAAGACCAAAATATTGCATAACCAGAAGACCACTTCTCTTAGACCTCTCAAAGTGTGCTTTGCTTTGCGGTGCGCTAAAGAATCCAAACTTCCCAGCTGCTGGCTCACGCTCTTTCTTCCTCGCTCTGTTTCACTATATGCTCCCTGTTTCCAACCTCAAAGCCTAATGGGTATAAGGCGGTTATAACAGCGCTGACCGCAGCAGTTTGCACTCAGCATTCCTCTCAGATGAGAGGAGTTGAGTCTCAAAAGATGCTAGAGTCTTGAGTCAAGGCTGCCTTTGTTCACTATATGTAATGTATGCCTCAGTGTGGGAACTACAAGTATGTCTAGTCATGGGAGCTGAAATTCTAAAACGCCACCTCAGCGTGGATTAGGCTTAATATTGTGTAAGTCTCACTACTGAGCACAAGTGTTGGGAGACCTCTGGTTGGGTTTGCTCAAACATTTTCTTCTTCTGTATTTGATTTCAGCACCTAATCACTTACTGTGTGGAGTATTTACGAATTTGTTGTCATGAGGAGACTGTTTCATGTCATTATTTATATTCATTTTTCTGATTCATTTTGTTTTTAATAGTGTTTGAAACTACTGCCTGACAGTGGTATTGTTGCTCCCTCCAAAACATACTAGTCATTCCCCAGTATTTGTATATAATGTGTGTGTGCATGATGAAAGAGTGTGATAGATGGTTAGACCACTCGTGCTGGATAAACTGTTTAGATGACAGATGTTTTTTAGTTACACTGTTTATTTCCATGTGCTAAGACTAACCCTTCAGGCTCGTAGTGTAATTCCACTGCTAATTCATGTATAGATATATCTTAAGTGTAAGTGGATATGGTCCAAATACTATACTATTTTTAAATTTGTTTAGAAATAAGGAAAGTTAGTTTTTGTTTGTTGTTTTTTTTCCATAAATCAACTTCTGTTGGTCTGCTGTTGCAAATAGCCTCCACTTGGTGTCACTAGAAGCTCAGATGAAGGCATTGTGGTCCTGTGCTTTTCTATACAAACCTCAGTTAGTGGGTTTAAAACCACACAGGCCGTTTAAAGGTCCTTTCCTGCCCTTTGACCCCCATGTCTCCTGTGTTGAATGACTATTCATTAGTATTACATTACATTAGCAGGCTAATTTAACTAACCGCAGTACAGAAATTACTCCGAAATGATTGCAGTCTTTTATCATTATAATTGTCAGTTACAGTTGGGTCCTGCCTGTTGTAAGCCATACAAGAAGCTGGCATGCATCCAGTCTGCTTTACAAGGTTTACATAGTGTTGTTTGTATGAATATTTGGGCATAAACTGATCTCGGTGGATATAATTGTTTTCCATGATACCATTGCGTAAGTTGTGAGGGAGATTTTGGTGTACCTTATCTCATTGCACTTTCATGGCTTTGTTGGGTGTTGAAAGAAAGTGGGAAAATTCATTCGTTTTAGACACATGCTCTGGATTATAAATGGCTTATAGCTATACTTTCTACTGCTTTCCTCATTGTTTTCTGACGACCTATTGTGTGCTACTTTGAGAATTTAATATTTATCACGGAAAACCCAACTACCATATACACTGTTAGTTCATAGGTGACCCAAGTGCTGACATTCATTTTTTTGTTTTTTTACAGTAACTTCTCCAACTACAGAAACCGCTTCAGTATGCCAGGCCAGACTGAGAGCCTCTGGTACAGGTAAGGACACATCGTAAACTTCTGACAGTTATTTCCAGTACTCTAAACAAACGTGTATTTCTTTAGCACAATGTTTGTATTTAATGAATTGAAGTATTTTGTGTTTAGATCTAGTTTAGACATAATTCAGTCTCAAGCTTATCTCTTATGTGGTGTCAGTTTATGTCCTTGTACACTGAAGTGAGTGGTAGAGGCCAGACTTAATAAAATATTTTCTGTTAACATTGGTGTGTGGGAATTCAGCATTATTTGATTCAGTTTATTTTTGTAGAGCTCAAATTTACAGTAGTTGTAGTCAAAATCAAACAACTAAACTGAAAGATTCACCAATATTGACAAGAAATGTGCAAATGGAACTAAATAAATGAAGCCAAAACCAAATTAAATACGTAAACAAAATGTAAATTCGTATTCTCTTTTATCTCCATGCATTTGGACCATGGCATACTCGCATAATTGTACAGTCCTAAATGAATTAAAACACGTGCGCAATGCAGACTGACTGGCCTTTACTTTCAGTAGTCGTCTCCAGCTGCTGTCTGCTGGCACCACACAAAGGGTCCATACATCCCATGAGTGAGTCAGAGGGTCTGCAGACCACTCTCTCCCTCAGACAGAAAGAGAATATTCTGCAAAACCACAAAACAGCTGCCCACTCCGCTCCTGGCTCCCATCCCCTCATCATGTGCATGCTTATGACTGCATTTCCTCAAAAGCTCCTGGAAACTACTGGAAACCATCACCATAGCACTATCCAATTTGTTCAGTAAGAATTGTTGCCGTCGTCTGCGGGCGGTAGACTGACCAGCGCGAGTGTTTCTATGACAGTGTTATGATGCCGGGGCTCTGTCTCTTCACACATAGTGGAGGTTAAAGCGCGGCATGCTTTGGTTCAATATGCCCTCTCCTGCGGGTCAGGGCTGTGGATCATTTTAATGGTTTGTGTCCATAGTTGGAACCTGGGGTCAGCACACATCATCTCCCTCTCCACCGAGGTTTACTTCTACCTTAACTACGGCCAGGAGCTGATTTTCAGACAGTTGGAGTGGCTCAAGAAGGATCTGGAGGTTTAGTTATTTCTTTATAAATGATTCTCTAATTCTTTTACAGGGTGATTTAATCGTTTCTTATGTTTTACACAGGAGGCAAACAGACCAAAGAACCGAGCAATGAGACCATGGATCATTACAATGGGACACAGGCCGATGTACTGTTCAGATGATGACCAAGACGACTGCACCAATTTTGATTCTTATGTAAGTGGTTTATTACTGCATTACCTTAAATAACAAATAAACAAAACATTTGGACATCTGGTCCACATTAAGCCAATCAAGCCATCCCCTTGATCCCTTTATCACAATGACCATAACCTATATCTAATGTCCATAAACTCCAATATATCTAATGTCCATTTGATCTATAGTCCTAATTCTCACTATGATAAAAATTAGGGGTGTAACAATAACTGAAATATCGTGATAGTGTATCATCAAAGTTCTCACAATAATATTGTGGACCATCATAATATGTCGAATTACAAGTCTCTTTGCTTAAATTAAGAGTTATGGTGCAGCAATAGCTGAAAAAAGACAGAGGGAACTACATAGACCATGATCCTTTGCTCCATTTCAGTGTAGACTACAAGAAGAAGTAACAGCTCTAAGCACTTTTAATCTCGCAATGAAATCTAATTTCCTTCTTGCCACATTGTGTTGAAAATGTCTACATTCATACATATGTTCTACATGTATCTGTAAAGGTGGAATGTTCAGCAACTCCCACAGTGACACAATGCACACGTTAACACACAAAAGCAAAAAATACAAAATGGTTTTAAACAACACATTTTCAGGAGCCTGTGATCAATATGAGCGTTCATGGTCCTGTTTAGATGCTTAATTTACAACAAAACAGCACAAATCAGCTCTCCTGTTGTGCTTCCAACTACTTGATTCAAGTGTAACTGAGCTTCAGACAGAGCAGTGCGTTCAGTTACCATTAAACCCCAAGGTAATGTTGATAACATCATCTGTAAAGTATCAGTTTTGCCATGTGTTACTGGTGTAGAGTAGAGTGTGTATTTAATGTTGTCTTGACAGCACACACAGCACACACAGACACCAACTCTCTAATTTCAAGTTGGCCGGATCAGTCCAAATGATTTACCTGGGCTTAGAGCATAGCCATAATAACTTTAATTTAGACCAATTAGTGTCCAGTCAGAGGCCATAGTGCACTAAAGTTTGGTCATGTGGTCTTAAAAGTAGACCTATAGGATTACAGGTGCTAGCCAGTTCACGCTGTCACTGTTCCTCTGCTCTCCGTCAGGTTCGAATGGGGCGCAATGACACCAAACCCCCTGCTCCTGGTCTGGAGGATCTGCTCTACCGCTACGGTATGCTCCTCGTGGGACAACTGGAATACTGTGGTTTCTGGCCTTTACTCATTTTCAAAACATTTTCAAAGATATGTCTGAAATAATCGCCAAAACGTTATGCAATTACTAAATTACTTTTTAAGATGCATTTCCAGGACCCCTGTTGTTCTATCTGTCCTCAAACTCAATCCTAGCATTTGTCGACAACCATACTCTTTCTGTAAGTTGATATTTTTCATATTACCACACTGATTTAGTGATTACTGTTCCAGGAGTGGATCTGGAGTTGTGGGCACATGAGCACACATATGAGAGACTGTGGCCTGTCTATGGGGACAAAGTAAGGGCCAAGCATATTTTTACCATACAGAGTATTATGTATGTCTGAATGTTGTTAAAGACACTGCTTCTCTGTTTCTCTATTTCTCTGTAGGTGTATAATGGGAGCAGGGAGCAGCCTTATGTGAACCCTAAAGCCCCTGTCCACATCATCACAGGCTCAGCGGTAAGTACATGTCCATAGATATTACACAATGAACAGTAGCAGCTGCTCTGTCACATGTGTGGGCTTACAGCAGGTTGAGTGTTTGATGTGGTCCTGGGCAGCAGAGGCGTCACCCAACCACAGCTCATGAGTCAGCCCAGATCAGAACTCCGCTGTAACATAGACTGTCAGCTTATATATGAGTGACTTCTGTGCAGGGCTGCAGAGAGAGAACTGATAAGTTTAACCCCAACCCCAAACAGTGGAGTGCCTTTCGCAGCACAGACTACGGCTACACACGCATGCAGGTGGTCAATGGCTCACATCTTTACTTGGAGCAGGTCTCTGATGATCATGTAAGACCAAAGTGTAGTAAGAATATCATTCCAACAGTAAAGATAACCCTGCCTAAACAGCTCCTCTCTGTTTCAGAATGGAAAAGTGATTGACACTATTTGGCTGGTAAAAGAGAAACATGGACCCTCAGCCTGGTTGTGACGCACACCATCACTCTCAAGAAATGCACTTTGAACTTTTATTCCAAGTTTTCACACTGTATAATTTTTTCTCGTTCATAATAAAAAAAATAAAAAATAATATTAACTGTAAAATAATATTTTTAAGCGAGAAATTATTGAATAAAATCTTGCATTACGTAATAATTTCTGTCGTTTCTTAAATAATAAGAGTGAAAACAGTATGTATCAGATTCCGAAGTAACTGCAGCCGCACTACATTTCCATGCCACATGAATCTTGAGCCACAGACTCTGAGTGATGGCTTGACATGTCATAAGCATCAGTCCCTTCAGAGCAGACTTTGTAAACACCTGGAAATGCACTTCTCTGGCACAGGCTTTGTCTCTCACTCCATCCACATGACAGAGGGGCTGCTGGGTGCTCCTATCTAACCCTGCATCTGCGTGGCCAGAGGAGCCGGAGACAGCCCAGGGCCAGGCCTCTTATGTAACTGAGGGAGACTTGTGGCAGACAGCACCTTCCCTTCGAGCTGCATCATCGCCATGGTGGGATTCAGCACAGCGGGCTCTGGGTACACTGGCAGACAACCAGCGCTCATCTGCATACATCTGGTTTAAACTTGTTAGGCTGGCTGTTAGAGCTGCACTTTCGCTCTGTCTTTGCACTTTCTGTTGACACTGCAAAGTCTGCAAACATAACAGCAATTAAACGTCAGCCAAATGTTCATATGCGAACACATAAGAGCATGCTAGTGGATCGAGATCTTATCGAAAGCACATGCAAGGCCATGAGAGAAGTCACTCATGGAAACGCCGCATGACCAAAACACAGAGGAGAGAAAAAACAGTGCAGCGGCTAACATGGACTCCAGATGTGTCAAAATATTTAAGTTCTAAGATAAAGTTTCTAGTAGAGAACACACAAGTGGTCAAACATCAAAAAACAATTCTATGGTTTGGAGGAGAGTCCCACTACCATACTCTCATCAGATTCCTATAAACTGCTCACATTGCACCCAAAACCTCGCTGGGTGCCACTGAGCAAGACACACACGGGGGGAGCGGTGCTGAGCGCAGACTGCAGACTCCAGCGGGGGGCTGCAGGTCCTAACACGCTCACCACATTTGTTTATGACCACAGCAAGCATGTTTACGGTCCTATAAAGACTCCCGTTTTCCAGTTTGTCATGTACTAGGCGTGGAACAACAATGATGGAACATACTATTCCCTGTTTAAGTCACGTGGCATTCCTCTTCGTTTAGAAACTGATCAGAATCCAGGAAAAAGCAGACGGGGAGAGAATAACACATCACTTCACTTTACATTTGTGAAATATGAGGCCTTTAAATGAATGGCAGGTTTGTGGCGTTGACCTCGCTGACAGAAAACCTCAAGCACGACAGCACGTTTAGATGATTATTTTCTATTTTTAGAAATATTTCGCAGCGGACACAGAGCAGGTTGTTTCTGCAAGCCCACCTTTGAAATCCTGTCAATGATTTAGACATCAGAGGTCAAGGAGACAAGTGACCTTTGACCCCGCTGCTGCCTGCTGAGGTGCTACTTTTAGCTGGAATCCGTCCTGTTTACCTAAGTCTGCAACTCTCAATAGAGGAGCTGCTGTCTGTCTAGCCCACTAACCTCCATAGGACCTGAGATGAGAACATACCTGCGCTATTAGCAATCTGTTTAACTCTAGTGTCTGTCTTGTAATGACACAGCTTTCCTACACTGGGACATTGCGCAGCCCCGGGGAAGGTTTCTTACGCACACATTCACAGGTGAGAACTACGCCTTTTAAACTCCTATTGCGACACTCGCTGTTTATGAGTGCTCACATGACCACACAGGTGCGCCTCAGGCTTCACAACACATACACACGGCTTCGATTTCAATTATTCTGACCCATTTTGTGTCCAGATGTCAAAACTTACCATGCATTCTTTTTATATCCTGCAAATAACCAATAACAAATCAGATGTTTTGCTCTTTTCCATGTTTTTGAAATCTGAAAAGCGGTTAATTAACATGGCTATTTGTGTCCCATTCCCAGACAAGAACGAATAAGGAATGTGTCAGGAAGGGCATCCAGCATAAACAGCGTAAAACCAAATCAGTATTAAATTAAATTACTTTACATTCCAGGAGGTTATTTATTTATTTTGATAATGACTACAAGATACAAACTGATGCAAACAGTATACTAAAAGTTAAATGTGCAAATAGAGCCCATGTGAATTTATCTAGACTATATTTCATATTAGTGTCTCAAAAACACCTAAAAAAAATACACATTCGCACTGTGAGTAGCATCGCCTCTCCATAGATCTGACCTGTAACTTAATTGTCTTCACATACGTTGGAAAATTCCAGGCAAAATAATAGAAGGTGGAGGAGCCTCAACCAGAAAAGTTACATAATTCACTAGGGACGTAACAATATCTGATTCTCTTGATATGATATTTTCACGATATGCATCTCACTAGGGCTGGGTATCATTAAAAAGTTGCCGATACGATACATTCCTCGATACATAGGCCACACTATGATACATATCTTGATACAGTGCACTTTCAATTTAATATGATATATTTCAAAATGATTCAATAGGGCTCAATAAAAAAATAAAGGCTAAATCCTGACTGTGATACTAAAAGTCTTTGTTAAACCACTTCTTGTGCAAAGTTAATATGAAAAATAAACATTTTAATCACCAAAACAGTGAATATGTCAAATGTGCAGCATAAAAGACTTTCCTCCCTGTGAACAAGCAACAAAACTATAGCACCGTAACAAAATAATTTAGTAAAGGACATCAAAAAATACTCTTAGCCAATGATATCGATACTGTAAATTCGCATTAAACAATACGATATATCAATGTTTCGATATTTTTGCACACCCCTACATCTCATATATAGATATCAGATATTTATTGCAACAAAATTGTGAATATGCTACTTTTCTCCCATCATAATCCAAATAATTAAGATTTAAAAGTTCTTAATAACTGTTATTTCAACACGCAGAGTGGACTGAAACAGCCAAGGATCATGGTCTATGTAGTTCCCTCTGTTTTTTAGGTACTACTGCACCATAACAATGAATTTAGGCAAATAAACTTGTGATTCGATATATTGTGATGGTCCACGATATTATTGTGAGACTTTTGATGATATGATATCACAATATTTCGGTTATTTTTACATCCCGATAATTCACCTTTAATGTAGGCACATTAACAACAGTCTTTTTTTTTTCTGAATGCTAGAGTGATTCATCAGCCGGTTTCACATCATGGAAACTGTCTGACCTTGCAGCATTAGGATTCGCTCGACAGTAGGCAAGTACTTTTTAATTTAACCAATTGCTGCTATTTGGTCATGACGTATGTAATGCGCCACTAATGGGGCTAACTGGTATATTAAGCTTTTCCCAAATCCCGTAGAAAGACGGACAATAATGTCTTTCCCCTTGATAAAATTCACCAAACATTCTCTTTGTTCCAGCTTTAAATCCTCAATCTCAGGAATTGTTGCCAAAACAGAATGTATAGCTCTTCTCTGATTGGCCTGATACCCGAACTGGCACTTCTGGAGTTTTTGCGAACCATCTAGTGTATTCCGATTCCTGACCTAGTCGCTGGAGAGAAGTGAAATTGAGCAGAGGCACTAGGCGGCACCAGCTTGGCTACAAAAGGAATGCACCATCCAGGGCCAAATCCATGTAAAACCTTTTATCCCTGGAAATTCATTCCACAGTGCAAACAAAAATCAACACCACACGGATTAGGAGTTGACATTGACAGGAAAACTGCATGTGCACACCGCCGCATTATCCCACTGCTCTAAATATAGTGCTTGTCCTATGGAGGCGAGCAAAACACACTAGATACAAACCCAGAAAAAGTGTATTATTACAGAAGTTATGGGGGGCTTTAGGGCGCCTGGGTTAAAATAACACTCCTTATAGTTGAAAGCTGGGCCTGGCCTCACACTATTCCACTGCGGAGCCTATCCACACGTGCACTGTCCTCCCAGCATCCCAGTGCACGTGTATGAGCACACTCCGGGATCATTGCTGTATGTTTTCACTATTCAATGTGGCAGAGCTGTTGCGTGCTTAGATCAGGTTACCACATGGGACGGCCACTCTTCTTAATGTATGCTAACCTTTGCATTAACTGAGGAGAATATGAAGAATGGGCCTAAATGTCTAAATGTGTATAATTATTTACACATGGCCACGTTTCCATCCAGTCCATAAATAGAAAATGTAAAGCGGGAGTGACATGGATTTAGCCCAGAGTCTCCTGATTAGCCAAACCACAATTTACCACAAAGACAGCGGTACGATAACCAGCAGCATTAATCAAAGCACAACAAGCTAATCCATTGTCCGGGAATCTGAAATGTTAGCCTGGAAACTCTTTGGTGATGACACTAGTGGACACTGGTGATTGTCCGTGCAATGTGAGTCAACAGTTTTTTGTGATTACTGTAAGAAGAAAATAAGCAGGCTATAAAAGCAGAACATTTCCACTTTGTTTAGAGCTTGTAAAATCTTCCAGAAACATTTTCAGTCTGAGTCAGAGATCAAATTGTGTCCACATGAACGGCTTTAATTAGAATTTTATTTGCATATTTAAAAGGTGCACCATGAAACTTCTGGTTCTTTTCTGGTTCGTGCTTGTTTGATGTTACTGCTGTGCCTGGAATCTTTCACAATATGGCTTTAAACTAATCTCTCTTGTGTTTTTTTTTAGTTTTTATTGCCTACAAATACCTTGGAAAACACGCAGGCTGGCCCTTCTAAAGATCTGATCTGCAGAGTCATCTGCTTATCTCCTAGCCAGGATGACACCACCTAGTGCCTCCGCTCAGTTTAATTTTTCTCCAGCGACTAGGTCAGAAATCAGAATATACTACACCACACATGTCAATCTCAGGCCCTGGGGCCAAATTTGGTCCATGATATAATTATATTTGCCTCACAAGATCATATCAAATATGTATTAGACCTGTCCGCCGGCTACAGATACAGAAAATGTTGTTATTATTTTATATTTTGCTTGTTCTGGATTCAGTGCTTAAGCAAAACTATTATTAAACATTTATTTTAATAAGAAAAGGTTTAACATTACATATCTCGAAAGAAGAGAAAACATGCAGATGTTGAAATTT